AGGCTTGGCTTCACTTAAAACTAGGTCTCTCTCTCTCTCTCTCTCTCTCTTTGTTGAGGCCAAATGTTTACCACATCTCCAAAACCTGAGAGGGATCAAGACTCGCACCCTTGACCGGTGATAAAACGAGCTCGTTTTCTCGGCCTTTGAAGGCCTCCCTCCCCCTCCGCCTCAGAGACGTCCTCCAGAGTCTCCTTGATGGCGACGTCAAAGTTGGCGGAGCTCATGTCCACCCCGGTGCCCACCAAGGCCCACACCAGCACACCCAAAACCTGGGCTTTTGCGCGCGACGCGCGCGCGCGCGTCGTTGGTTTTGTTTGGCGGCGCTGGTGCGAGAGATGCCTCTCCCAGATCCCTGAGAAATGGAGTCTGACCTTTAAGAAAAGCATCTAACTGGTGGCGTCCTTCAAGGGGAGCCCCTGAAAAAAATGAACCCACGCGCCCTACGAGCACCAGCAAGTGTTTGATGCCTGCGGAAAGCTGCGTGGGGTTCAAGCGGCACTGCTGCTTTCAAAGGGGTGAGTGAAGGGAAAATCGAAGGCTGTTATGTGATTCTTTTTCAACGCAGGTCATAAACTTAAGTCTGGCAATGGAGTGTTAACCCTTTCAAGCCTGTTCAGGAGAAGAGCGCTAAACCAGCAAACGAAAAGGAAAAAAGTCAACTGTACTGCAAACGTGCAGGGACACTTCAGGACCAATACCCTCTGCCAGAAGCCATTTCTGGGAGGCTTCCTGGCAGATCCATTCCTCTTCGGACCGGGTCCCGAAGCGTCAGGTGCCATGTTGGAAGGAACAAAGACCTCCAGGCTAACTTGGAAGCTCCCGAACGGACCCCGAAATGGAAGACTTGGTTCCATTTACAGAGGCCTTCTGGGAGCCTCCGGCTGTTAGTCTGAGGGAGGGTACCCCAAAAGAACCGCAGGAAAACGAAAAAGTTGCCAGCGATTGCCACGAAACCAGCGCCGTGGCCGCCTTGTTGATCTCGGTCTGCTCCTCCAGGACGATGACCGCGTAGCCGGCAATGAACGTGGCGACGATGGGGAAGTACTCCTTAAGCCAGAACGGTTTTAATTCAAGCAGTGATAGGAGACTGAAAGATAATATAGAAGATGTAGATGATGATACTAAAAATATGGTTAGACATATCACCCGCTTGTGTGGATTGGTGGTTTGGAGGTGTTCCGGTGGTGATTTTCCATCTAACCAAATCCACATCATTTCAATCCAAACCAGCCAAGGCTTCCCTGACCAGGACCAGTGCTATGGTCAAACCTGGCGAGGTCTGTCCCGTGCATCAACCTATGGTAGGGTCCACCACCGTCCCTAAGCGGCATATGTCAGCCCTGTGGCAAGTAGAGGGGCTGGAGGATTCGCTGAATTTCCCCCTTCAAAAGCGGCAGCGAAGTGGCACGTAAGCAAAACCAGGCCGTGCTTTGCACCCCAAAAAATGAAACTGAACAGAACCAAAGCAGACAAAGAAACAGAAAAAGAGAAAAGCATGCCAAGAGCCGCGAAGACTCATACTGGTTGCCCGTCAGGAACGGCACTCCCACCACTTGATGCTGGATGCCTGGCTTCGGAACTTCAGAGGCCTGGGGTTTGTTTTGGGGTCCTGAAATTCCGCCCTCTAGATGGTGGGCTTAGATGGAATCCACCCCCCAGTAATGTTGAGCCCATACTAATCAAACCCAGTTTTTTCACAGGGAGTGGTTTTGGGCCCCTCCAAAAGTGGTCTCATTTCCCCACGAAACCCAGAAGCACCCCCCTGTTAATAAACTGGGGTTGATGAAAATGGGGTCAACATCAATGGTGAGATGTCTCTCGAACTGTTCGCTTTAAGGGCTTGAAGATTGCTGGACTTCCATTCTTGGCTGAAGGGGGCGCAAACAAGCGCATTTGCGGAAGCCTTGCCCCCCTGTTGGTTTCGTTTTGAGTTTCTGTTCAAACAAAACAAAGGAACTCCAAATCATGGTTCTCCTTCTTTGGTTTACGTCTAAACCAACCCGAAAATGACACCCCCCCAAAAAAAATATTGTTGCGGTTTCTGAAACAAACAACTTGTCCTTCTAGAGGTAATGGGAATGCCTGCCAAACCTCCAAACTGGGTTCAAAATAAATGTCTGGAAAAACCACAAGCTCCCCATCTCCTTCCCCGTTTCCCAGCAAATCACGGGGGCTGAATGTACTGGTGGGCGCCAGGGAAACTGCCACGTCAGGCTCACGGGCGTGTCTTTTGACAGTGCGCCTTTTTTGAGGGTACCCCTTTTGGGCCGGTTGTAGAGGGAAACCGAAGGAAGTCCGTGTGTAGATGCACACATTTATTATTATTGTTATTATTATTATTATTAGTATTAGTATTATTAATTATTGTGATTATTGTTGTTTTTACTATTACTATTATTACTACTAGTATTACCATTGCTATTACTACTATTCTTCCTATGAGCAGTACTAATGCTAATATTATTCATATTCTTATGGGGGGGTTCAACCCTGGAAAAGACACACTCACATGGAGGCTCACTTGGCCGAAGCTGCCCCACATCAGCGCCAGCCAGCCCGCGAGCGCTGCCAGCACCGGCAGCACCACCCCGGTGACCTCCCCGCGCACATCCTCTTGCCTGGGCCAAACGGATCCGACGTTCCGACGGGCTGGCGCTGAGGCAACAACCCGCCGACTCCCCGAAAGTTGGTGGAATGGACCTGGCGATTCCCTGGCAGGAAGCCACCAGTTGGATGAGGGTTTTTTTTCTTTTGTCTTTTCGGGGTCATTCCATTTTTCATTCTGCAGGACACCCACCTCGGAGGAAACGATCTTCCAAGATGCCCCGAGTTGGGCTCCATGTAATTTGGGAGGGTACCTCTTTTGGGTGCGCATGCGCGTTTAAGGGAAACCAAAGGCAGATTCGTTGGGGTCCCGCCCATTCAGAACGACCATGAACTACCCATTCAGCCAACTTCAGGGCAAAGGTTTTTTTTTTTTTTTTTTTTTTTTTTCGGTTTTACCCCGTTGGGTGTCGTTGAGTTCCTGCATTTTCCGCTTGAACCAACCCAAAGCAAATCTATACTTTTGCCAGGGCATGTCAGTATGGCCATGTTGGGCAAATCACCCGAATGTCGCACCAGGACATTTTTCCATGTTCAGTTGTTTAAAGTGTTGGGGCGGTGCAGGGGCAAATATAGGTCCTGTTCGCCCGATGGTTCATCGTTCAACCCTTAACCCAGGATATGCATATCAATCGGTTCTACTTGGCATTTCCCGGGCACGGATGTAAGATATAACGAAACGTTTCAGAGAGACCAGCCGAGGAAACCCTGTGGTGGACAAAATTTAGGCGGGGGATTCATGTCCGCCAACCACTTGTGCGGTAGTGCCTCCCCCCCAAAAAAGAAAAAAGAAAAAAGGCACACAAACATAAATACCCCACCCCCCACCCACCCCTCCAAAAAAAAAACACACACACACACACAGAGCCACACTTGGGGCACCACGCCCCCCCCCCCTTAGTTCCCCTTGGGCCCCCCCCTTTGGTTCCCCTTGGGCCCCCCCTCGTGGAAGTCTCTCTCTCTTTCGCCGGGCGGCTTGGCGAGGGCCCGGCGCTGGGAGCTGGTGACCTGGCCGTAGAAGCCCTTGGCCGCCAGGGCGAAGAGCGGGGCAGTGGTGAGGCTCAGCCCCACGAAGCCCATCTTCTCCTGCGTGGCTTTCTTCCGACTCAAGTGCAACGCTTTGGAGTGAAGTTGGGAGTGGTTCGGAGTGGCTTGGAGTGAAGTTTGGAGTGGTTTTGGGCTGGGTGGCTTGGGAGGGGACCCCGGCAAATGTCTCTCCGAAACCGCCGGGCCTTTCAGATCAGCCCAAGAAGGGTACCTTTTGCCACCCAATGCCATTCCTTTTCCCGAAAGTCTCCCCAGCCCGCTTCTCCTTGCCCATGACGTGCGCTGGGCCAGGCGGAGCTCCGCCCGGCGTGGCCGCCGCCAAAGGCGCCTGCACCATGTCGCAGTCGGGCTGGGAGGCCAAGATGTCCGGGCGCCCCGGGCAGGCGAAGCCTCACGGACAGCTTTCCGGGGAACGCTCCGCTGGTTTTTGTTCCTGCTTCTGTTGTCCGCCATTCTGTGGAAGGGGAAGAATGAAATCAAGCCCGCACGGCAACAAGTGGAAAAGGTAATCAAGACTGATGGGTCGGTTGCAACCACAGTGGCCACCAACAGGGGGACGTTTCGGAAATGTTTCCGTTCCGACCCAAAAGCTTCAGCTAAGTCCGGCCAGCGCAACCTCCCGGGCGCGCGGCCGAGCGCGCCGCCAGCACGAGCAACAGGAAGACGGGGAGGGCGAGCACCCGCTTATGCGGGCGCCGGCGCTGGCTCGGAGAGGCGACGGTAGGAACGCCCATGGCCATTGACACAGGTCTTTGCTGTGCTCGCGGAGTTCGCGGTTTGCGGTCCGGACCACTCTGCTGCAAAGCTTGAGCGAGAAAAGGGATGCAGAGAAAGAAGTAGCGGAGCAATACGGCCAGAATCGAGCAGGTCACACCAGGCAAAAAGGGTTTGGAAAGCGGCTGTCGAACAAATATCCCGCAGCACCCTTTGCCAGCCCGCATCTACCGACAAGCTCCACCAAGACTCGGCAAGCATGTCCCAGGAAAGAGCAGTTGACATCCGCGAAATCTCCTGAACGTAACGCGGGCCTGCGCTTGTGCAAACGTGCGCAATTAAAAAAAAAAAAAGAGACTGCATGCAAACAGTGCAACTATACATTGGACTGTTCATACTTTTATGCGCACCCAGGCGGAGTATACACATATGTACATGCATGGTATGTGTTAGTGTGTGTGTGTGTGTGCATCCGTGTCAGGATTGATCAACGCAAACGCCTCAAAAGCTCTCTCACAAGCGCAAAGGCTTCCGTTGGAACCACGAAATGACCTTGAGACCAGCTGCCTCTTCAAGCGCCCCTGTGCAACACCCCCGGCTCCCCACGTTCCCCGTCGGCTCAACATCTCCGCCTCCAGCGGATCCTCGAACTCGGCTTCAACGCCTGGAGTTCGCGACCCAGGTCGGGCGGTTTGGCGCGGGGGCCCCCCAAAACACGCCCTTGCCGTGTGGCCTTGGCATAAATCAGCAAGGGGCTCCTTCCCCCTGCCATGGAACCCACCGTGGCAAAAAAACTTGAGGAACAAATGCTGGGAGGGCACTCATTCATGCAATGGATTGGCCCCCCGTTCCAGTGCCCGAACGGTAGAAAAGACGAGCCCTTTCTTTGGGGCTGACCATGCCTCCCGCCCCCCTGAACAGACGCAACAAACATCCCCTTGTGGAAGGCAATTTTCCTCTGCGGGTTTAGGGTTTAGTGTTCTCGTAAGGCTAGTCGCATTTTCACGATGAAATGCCCAGAGCACAAACGAACATAACCATACATGGGGACTGGGGTGCTCATGAGCTATTCGATATTCTGAATCAATATCGATTACAATGAGACAATAGCTAGCTTGGGGGCAGTCTTTCCACAGTTCCCCAAAAAAAGCATCCGTCGCATGAGAAGTGCGGTGGAATGCTTGCTTGCACTGCCCATTGGGTCGCTGGGATGGGGCAAATGTGCATATTGAGGGCCTCGTGGCTTCGCCTGGCTTTCGAGGCCGAGGTGACCAGGTCGGCTCAAGGGTGATCTTCTGCAAGAAGAAACTCACTTGCCAAGATCAGGTGAGCCGTCAAATTTGCGCCTTTGCCGCGTGGCACTACCCTACCCACACCACAGCATCCCTAGGTTTGAAGCCATCGGTGAGGTTCCAACCATTTCCAACCGGGGCCGGGCGGTGAGGGTGGCCGGGCCCCGCACCCAGGTCGTCCTGGACAAGGGCATGCAGCTGCAAGCGGGGGCACCTGGGGCGCATCTGGCTGCAGCCTTCCAACACGTGTAGCTTGGTGCGCTCACCCCGATGAGCGGACCCCTGGTTGATCTTACCTTTAGGGAGGGCACACCAACACACCAAGCTGCGGCGGGAGGGCAAAGCAAAACGAGATGGCCAGGGCAAAGATCCCCAGTTTCATCTCCGAGTTCCTTCCTCCTGCCAACTCTTGATGGATTTCCGGGCAAGTTCTGGGCGGCGCCCACATGCCACAAGTGCCCCGGGCAGAGGAGGCAGGTCATGAACAAAATGGCACACCCTAACCCTGCATCACAGATCAAGGAGATTGTTGCCTTTGGAAAATCAAAAATCAGAACAAACAAAACGAACCAGTACAGTACAGTTTGGTGAAAGTAGTATGTGGGACAAATCCCCCATTTGGGCTTAGTTGCCCCCTGTGCCACAGGGACTGGCGCCATCTGGTGTACCCACGTTCTACCCTTGTGGCTTGGCTATGGCTCGGAGGTTCGGGGCAACCAACCTGCAAGGCAGACGAAACACACAAGACGGAACTCTTGCATCCTCCCCCGCACATGTGCCAACCATGTGCAAAAAGAGGATCCAGCAAACCAAAGGTGCGGCAGGTTCCCCGTGACATCACCCCAAGACATCCAGAGACAAAAGCGGGGGCGAGCATCGCCCGCTCGCCCGCCACACGGCGCGAGCAAGCGAAGTCAAGTCACGTCAGGCCTCCGATCCAAACCGTCAGACAACATTTCATCCAGAGAAAACACAAAACCGCGCAGCGAAAAAGAAAACATTGAAGCCGGGCATTTCGCAGAAATTTTCACTGCAACTCCACAGAAAATGGCCCCCCGGCAGGCACAATGAAAAGCCCCCCCCCCCCACCCCACCCACACCCCGCCTCCATCGCGGCAGACTCACGAAGCCCTAGGCCGGAACTTCGCCAAACAGTTTGGCCCCCAGTAGCTAAACATGTTGTGCATTTTGTTTTAGTGTTTGTGGCCCATGAATGGTTCCCCTTTGGTTCCCCTTTGTGTCAAGAAGTGGATTGTTGCAACAATGTAAGCTTAGAAAGATTTGGTCACACCCTAAGGCTTCCTCGCATTAAGATAAGCGATCAGAGACCACCCCCCCGGGGCCCTCCTGTTGATTCCCAAAAGGCGGGCCCTGGAAAAGGGGGGGGTGAGCAAAGATAACAAAGCACTGTAGGCCTCATGAAGCCAAGAACCTGTGAGAGGGAGGTTGGGCTCTGTTCGTTGTCGCGGCGGCCCCTATCCACATGAAACCCCAACAAGCCAGCCGCTGATCGCGGCTTGACCTTAAGTGTCCGCAATCGCGGTCAACTCAAGTGTCCGCAATCGCGGTCAACTCAAGAGACATTATTCACCTCCAACGGATCCTTCATAAGCTCGCTGTCCATGAGCCGGTTGCGCATCCCAAAGAAACCCAGGGGCCAAAGCCCTTCAGCAGAGCACCGAGCAACTTGCGCGCCTTTTGTCGAACCCGGGAAGCCCGCTTCTAAAGAGACACACTACCCTCTCCTCTGTGCAGCAGTTCGTTGCGCTCATTCCATGGCAACCCAGGAATCCGCCCATAGCACATCCCCGTTTGAACCGCCCGGTTCTTTGCTCCAGGAACGCCCGCAAATCTAGGGGTTGATTCCCCATTCTTATCAACCATCACTCTTTTCCAAAACTTCTTCTGGGTGTTTGACCCTTTCCTTGAAAGAATGGGAATGCCCCACAAAATCGGGCCCAAGCTCAGCTTCCCTCTGGTGATATGGGGGTGGTTTCCCATGTGTCCTCTACAAGAACCAGGGGTTTAAATCCCCACACCACCAGGGGTTTTGTGACAAACTACTCTCAAGTCTACTCTAAATCCACCAAAAAAAGAGGGGAAGAAGAAAAACGAGAAACCCAGGCGCACCCCACCTTTCGCCTTTCGCCTTTCGCCTCGCCAAGACACGGAGCCCAGCCCCAGCAGCAGCGCCCACTTCCGCATGGGGAGGGCTCTGGGGTCGCGGGGAGGGCGGTTTCAATTTCGTCAGGGGGGGGGGGGGGGGTTGGGCTTTGGCTTGGTTTTGCTGATTTCTCGCAAGGGAAATCAAAGGACCCGAAGCAAAGCCAACCGCGCTCACTCTGTCCCAAACAGAACTTGGAATCCGGATGAAATCTGTGCGCAGTTTGGTGAACCGAGCGGCCTTCCTTTCGAGTCTCAATGCGACTCGAACGCCAACAAATGTTGGTCTCCCTCAGGCGCGCTCACTGCTTGCGTCGCTGGTGTCACGTGGAGCTGATGCGCTTGTTGAACAAGGCGATTTTTGGTTGAGCCCCTTGAGGAGAAACGAATAACCAGAGCCCTCCGTGGCGACGAAGCGGCGCCCTTCAAACCGCGCGCGCCCCGTTGAGCCGGCTCGGCTCGGGCGATTCCGTCCGCTTTAGGCTTCCTCCAAAGTGCCAGAAAGCGAGCAGAATAGTTGAACGCTTTTCCTGTCCTGTATGGGGTTGGCCTTTGACTGAAACTGGAAGGTTTGGATTTTGGCACAAACTCTGAAAAACCACATGCTAGCCAAATCAGGTCACAGACCTGCATGACCGCGCCCGCCCCCCCCCCCCCCCGAAACTTGTTCACTTGGTCCGACAAGGACTGGTAGAGGCTGATTTGGGGGCTTTTGCCAACCTGAAGGTGAGAGCAAACCAGCATATGGGTGAATCGTTTTTTGAGGGCACCCTGTGCGGGCTTGGTTTGACAGGGGAAGTACAGGAAGGCCACCCATGTTGAGGGCTCCTACTTTGAGACAAAGCCATATTGCATTGAGCCCCGTAACCCCTATCCTCACAGGAAACTCTTCAACCCAAATCCTTGGACAGATCCAAAACCACAAAACCATTGGGTCGCAAAGGGGATTAGGTGCTAACAGCTTCTAACAAATAGACATGTGGTATCAACACATGGACCCTCCAATGTGGCTGCTATCATCTTGTTTCCTCCTTCAAATCGGTCTGATTTTCTCGACGCCGCCACATCTGCCAGCCCTTGATTCTTGCATCCTTCCTGATCAGACGAGAATCCACGGTGATATCCAAAAAGAAAACATACCCCCACCTGAAAACCGCGAGGCTGGTGTTCCATCGAACGCCCTCCCCCCCCCCCCCCACAAAACAGAGAACAAGAAACAACCAACAAAAAAGCAGCAAACCCCCTCCCCCCCCAACAAAAAAAACAAAAAAACTCCGCGTTTTCAGGATCCGAACCCCGGCCCCGGCCCCAGCCCCGCCCCCCCCCCCAGCCCCGCCTCGGCCTCCGAGCCCTCCAGGCGCTTTGCCTTCGCCACAAGTTTCCCCACCGCCGCCGGAAGGTGCGCTCGTAGGCAGCCGCCGTGCTGCGGCCGGGCCCCGGGCCCCGAAGGAAGGCGCGAGGGGCTCCGGCTCCGGTTGGGAAGCCAAGGCCCCGTTTTTCGTATGGCGCTTCTCGAAAGAGGCGAGGGGTCCGCTTTTTCGACTGAAATGGGGCTGGCGAAACCATCGTTGAGAGACGTTTCTCCGAAGTAGGAATCCGGTTCTCCTAAAATGGATTGGTTTCCTTTTGGGTTGCCTCTTAGATGCCAACCGAAAGGGGTCAACCATTTTGAGAAGCCACCGAATCGGGTTGAGTTGATTGGGTGCCCAGATTTGCTGGGCCGAGTAAAGTATCACATCCTCAAAACTGCCCTCGAAAAGGCTGCTCAAAGGGAAGCAACCCCCATCAAAAATCGTACGGTGGACACTTAGGCGATTTAGTCTTTCCCCAAAACAAGGGGACGCCAAAAACCGCGCGGCTTTACGCGTCGTAGGCGTGGGCCCCTCCACAAATGGTTTCGTTGTACCCATGGAAATCCCGTTCCACGCATTACAGTTGTCAGAAGCGTTCTTGGAATGAAGAAAGCTAAAGAAAGCTGGGAACATACCTTGTGAAGGAAACCCTGGTTTCAAAGAAATGTTGAGTTGTCGGAGTGAATCTAAAATGGATTCGGGCTTCGGATGGATCTCCGTTGGATGGGATATCAGCCTGAGGGCAAATGGGAAACCCCCATTTACCTCGTAACCACCGAGCTCCAAACCAATTGAAGTAAGATTGAGAGAATGGATTTGGAACTAGCTACCGCCAAGCGCTGGCACTAGTGGAGTTCTTCAAGTTGAATCCGGAAGTCTCGGTTGTCAGCTGCCCCCGTATTGGGGGGGGGGGGGATTCGGGTGTGGTTTCCCATCTACCCTCTGCTGCAGAACGACTGAACCCCACACAACTAATTCGGGGGGTTACCTGAGCTTGCACGCTCGACTAGTGAGGAACCACTTCGCAGGTCTTGCAGGTTCTTTCAAACGTCATTTTCAGAACCCCTCCAAATGTGCCCTACCCCAGACTCAGCGCCCATTTTGCGCCAAACATACGAATTATCCTGAAATAGCTTCGCCTCCCCCTGCCCAGCACTGCGCCTCCGGCACCCAGGCGGGGTTCAGGTAGTACACCGCCGTCAGCCGCCGGCCCCTCTGCAGGGCGTCGCGGTGCCGCGCGTAGCGGGCGCCGGGCGGATAGCGCGCCACCATGGTGCTGAGGCGCTCGCACCCGAAGCGCAGAGCCTCCGGGAACGAGGGCATGGGCGTGGCTCGACATACAAAACCAATGAATTGGATCGTGTTAAGAGGAAGCCAAAAGGAAATCTACAGTTCAGCGCAAAAGGTTAGGGGGTAACTCAGGGAACGGGACAAGCTTCCCTCGAGGCTTGGAAAAATACCCGACACTGTTTCCACCAAAAGGCGACAGGGGTCCATGGTCCACCCAAAAAGCGATACCATGGCCCCTAGGGGTCCCCTGCCGTTTGTTTGTCCCAGAACTCTTCGGAGAGAGGCCTGAGTGCAGGTCCCGTTCCGTTTGTTCTCCACTTTAAACGAAGCCAGGAAACACGTGGACAAGGATTCAGCCTTTTGGCGCCATTTGACTGGGGAATCAGCTACGTGTGTGGACAGGACTCAACCCCCCTTGCAAAAAGATACTGTTTTCCCTGGTTGAAATTATCAAATGAAGGACACCCAAAGTTGCAAACGGGCAAAAAACATAAGCCCGATGATACCAGCCATAAAACGAAAAGCGGCAACCCTTAGACCCACAGGGTGGTGAACTGTGCAACCTGCCAAGCCTCAAATCGAAGCTTTGCTTGCGTCCCTCTGCGGCCCAAGCTCCATCATCCCCCAAACCAATACCGGGATCCAAGGCCTCAATTGGCAACGGGGGGGGGACATCATCTTGGGCTTAACACGCTAATTTTCATTTTGAACTTTAAACGCCAACCGCAAAGGGGCCCACCATTTTGAGAACCCCCCCCCCCATATCCAATGTGTCAGGTGTCAAATGCCCGCCCATGGTTGCTTGACCCACCTGTGTTTTTTTCCTGTGGGGCTGTTGGCCTTGGGGTTGGTTTCCATTTGAAGGAGGCCCCGGCGCCGCCGAACCCCCCCCCCAAAAAATAGAAGAAGTAGGGGGCCTGGGGGGAAGTCTGTTGAGGGTTGCCTGTTCTGGTTTTTATGTTCATCTCAAATCTATGTTCCCCCTTATTCGTTTTTAAAAGAGGGTTTTTAGGGAGCTTATTTATCGTTTTCGTTAAGGTAATCATTTGGGTAAATTGTCGCCTTGTTCATTGTTGGGCTAGGGGCAAACATTTTTTTCATTTGAAAGAGGTAGCCCTTTTAGTAGTTATCAAGTTCTGGGGTGTTGGTGGGTCGTTTGTTTCTTTGACGTTTATCTCTACAATTATTTATTTTTGTTCTACACTCTTGACAATATTTATATCTTCTTCCACTTTTTACATTTCCAAATTCATCATTTGTTTTATCATAAAGACATCTGTTGCATTTGAAGAATTCACCATAGTCTTCTGTTGCTTTTTCTTCTGTCATTCCATAATTATTCATTATAGTTTGCTTCACAACCATTTCTTAATATATCTTAACAACTACTTTTTATGTGATTTTTATGTGATTGTCTAGTTATGTTTTATAGGTTGAAATTACAGTATAATGAAAGGTTATAAAAGTTTACACTGTTTAATCATATTATAATTAAATATTATGATTAAGCCATGAAATCATTGTTTCTGGTTTCTATAAATTTCAATTGCAACATGTTCGATAGTAATGATTTCGTGTCGTTTCATAGTCTGTTTGGTTTCTTCAACTGCTTGTTCAATATGGTATTGTAATGACGCTCTACTTGAAATCTTATTCTGTTTAGATTATGAATAAGAACGACTGTTGCAAATATTATTATTATACATAATTTTTGAACTAACTACTATTCCAACCTGTATTTCTTCATCATACTTCATCATTCTTAATAATTCTTTTGGTGGTTTCAACGCATATGACAGCGCTTTATCACCTTTTAAGCATTTATTGCGAATCTCAACATAATATCTACTTTCTCCTACTCGTTCAGTGTAAATAGACGGTTTCCATTTCCTTTGTAATTCTCTTAAAGCATCACATTGTTTCAGTCTTCGCCACCCTTCACTACCATTATTGTAAGTAGTGATGATTGAAACTAAGCCTTCAGGTAAGCTAGCGCAATTCTCATCCATAAAATTATTCTCTGACATTTTACCCTTACTCATTTTTCTCTTAATATATAAGGTAATATTTCTTTAAGTAGTTTTGGCTAGGGGGTTGCTGGTCAGCTGGTCTGGGTTTCAGGTTTAATTTAAATGTCTGTGTGAGCCAGACCTTGCTGTGCGAGCCAGACCTTACTGTGTGAGCCAAACCTTGCTGTGTGAGCCTGACTGTGTTGTGTGAGCCTGACTGTGTTGTGTGAGCCAGACCTTGTTACTTGAGCCATTCTCCCCTTAATTGGGGAGTTCGCCCCCCTTAATTGGGGAGTTCGCCCCCCTTAAGTGGGGAGTTCGCCCCCCTTAATTGGGGAGTTCGCCCCCCTTAATTGGGGAGTTCGCCCCCCTTAATTGGGGAGTTCGCCCCCCTTAATTGGGGAGTTTACCCACCGTTTTCAAATCCAATGATATAACATTATAACCGAGCGACTTTGCTACTTTACCAACTGAAGAAGTACCACTAAATAGTTCTAATAAGTGCATATATTATTAGAACTATTTAGATATTAATATTTTCACATACATATCGTTGATGTTTTTCAGTTCTCTCGTGTCTTCTTATATCACATTTCCTGAAAACACCACCACATTCACATTCAATAGGTGCTTTTCGTTTTTCCAATATTGTTTCTTTGTTTTGGTGGTAGTGCTCCCTACTTTTATTACATATATGTTCTTTGTTGTTTTCTGCGTATTCCTTCCTCATATTTTGATAGTGTTCCTTATTGTATTCCTTCCACTCATTAATTGTTCTACCTACCACACATCTATTCACACAATCATTATTTTGAATGTAATAACCTTCTCTTTTCATTAACTGTTCTCTGTTTTCACATGGGTAGTCTTCTAATAATTCAATCTTACAGTTGTCCATTCCATATTCATCAAACAAAAAACGACAGTTTGTTTTATTATTCCATTGTTCTGCCTTGTTATAATTTTGTCTATGTCTTGCCATTCTTTGGCTCAAGCTTTCACAGGTGCTTCCGATGTAGCACTTATTATAACCAACATCTGTTATTTTGTAAATCTTTGCGTTTTTATATTTACTGCTATCCATTAATAACCTTAGTTATCTTTTCTTTAACGCAGTTTATAATGTCCATAAGGCAGTGAATTGAAAGCATCAATGTAAAACCTTTTATTTTCATAATTACTGAGTGATTGCTTGACTTGAGACATTGAAAATAATTGATGGTTGCGACTACGAATAAAATTATATGTTATTTCATGCTTTTTGTTTTGAAATAATGCTTCGTGGTAGTTTTGGTAAGTCAGTTCTTTCTTCACCTTGTGTTTCACTACACCTTTTGATTTCTTTTGTTCTTCGTCTTCACCGTGTATTGTAAAAGCATACGATTTAGGCTTTAACCCTATGAATTGTGTTATTGTTTGACCGTTGCACTCATCCTTGAAATAACCGAGTTTTTTCTTATTTGTTTTGTCATGGCAGGGGTGTTCAGGTGGATAATCGCTAAAGTCCATATATTGGTTTAATTCTTTGAAGTCCTTGTAGATGTCCTCAGTGAATGTTTGAATTACATAACTGTCAGTATCAGTATAAACCAGTTTGATGTTTTCATTGTATTTCTTCTTAAGAACATCATAGTAGAACTGATACATATGTAATTTACTGATGTCAAGGATTGTCATTCCTAAGAAAATCGGTTTGTCCAGTTTCAGCTTCGCTTTAGTTTTTTCAACTCCTACAAGGTTTTCATTAATAATAAATCTATTTTTGAATGTTGGATTATTAACACATTTTTCGTATCTAACTTCATTATCAACTAATTCAAAGTACATATGATTTCGTTTGTCTTCCATAGTTTTTCCATACACAGAATTATTCATTAATTTGAATAAATCTTTCTCAAAATCGCTTTTGGCTTCTTTCCTTTTACCAGTGTTAAAATCAATCCACGGTTTCAACCATGCCCTCTGTTGAAATTTTATTATCCTATGGACTTTGGTCATTTTCATTCCCATTTTCAAATAATACTGTAAAGTCTTGATATGAACCACATATTTTTCTTTATCCTTTAGATTTAATATTAACTTACTTGTTTTCTCATCCTTGGGATTTTTGCCATCATATTATATTTTGTAGACTTGCTTTTGATAATCAGAAAGCATACTAACATTTACATTCATTATTTCAGGCGCTAGTGGATAGTCAGAGTGGAAGTCGTGCAATGTTTCGGGATATTCCAAATCAACTTCCATAATATAACCGAACTCGTCGTGTTCATTCCATTTTTCAACACTGGGCGTTTTCTTTGCCCACTTGATATTTTTTAGCGGTAATTTCTGGGACATTGCTAAACCATACAAGTTATTAGCATCCAAGTAGCTAATATAATTTGATGGCTTGTTCTCATCATATGCGTCCTCCATATACTTATTATTTGCCACCGCTAATTTATGACTTACCTGACACATACCACCTCTCATTCCCTTTTCAACCATCTCAAACATTTCTAGGTCATGCAATTGTTCTATTTCAACACCAGTTTTTAGAAGCATCGCGTCCCATGCGAAATTTGGCAACGTATAATAATGAGCGGGGTCTAAACCATAGTATTCCATACACAAGTCTCTAAAGTTTTCAAATACATCGGTCAGTAGTAAAACATCAGTTCTTAAATACAAGTCGTGATACTGCCCGAGTGTTCTAATCCCGAAGTGCTTCAATACTTTCAGTGCCCTTTCATAATCTTTATCACTTACATGTTCCTCACTTAATTTACTGTAAAACGCTTCTTTCGGTGGTAAAGCCCTTTCCTTAAATCTTTCAAAATCATCAAAGTGGTCATAGGGATAAATACCCTTATCAGTCAATAAATCCAAATCTTCATCGGTTTTAACATACGGGTTTCTAACGCTGTATCTGAAATTGTTCTTCCAATTCTCACGCTTTTTATCATCCTCATATTTACTCAACCTGACCAACTTATCCAACGAAGTCGATAAGAAACTGAAACTGTCCTTGAAACAAAGATT